CCCATTCCAAAACCATTTTAAACTAGGGATTCCTTGGATGACTCAATAATGCAAATTTGAACTGAAAATCCATGTGAAAGTCTCCACCATGGTCAAGCTATCTCAAAGATAGATAGGTTTTGTTTTGTTTCTGCTCTGCTCAGCACCAAGGCAGCTCTCCCCATGGTGCCCTACGTGGGAAAGGGGAAATGATTTTCCTTCTGATTTACATTTATTCTAAGGCTGTAGCCCATGGAGAAGGATTTCCTTTCATCTCCCTACCATAGATAAGGTTTTGATTTGTTTCAGCTTTGATTTATCTTCTTCTCACCCCACAAGCTATTAAAACTTCACTTGATTTTTTTTTTTTTTAAAGATTTTATTGATTTATTTGACACAGAGAGACACAGCGAGAGGAACACAAGCAGGGGGAGTGGGAGAGGGAGAAGCAGGCTTCCCGCGGAGCAGGGAGCCCGATGCGGGGCTCGATCCCAGGACCCTGGGATCATGACCTGAGCTGAAGGCAGACGCTTAATGACTGAGCCACCCAGGCGCCCCAAAACTTCACTTGATTTTTTATTTGATTTTGATTTTGATTTCTCTTTCTTTCCCCACAAAGCTATCAAAACTCAGTTTTGTCAGAATTTGGCCTCAGACAAAAGTAGATGCTGCACTATGCTTACTTTTCTGGTTTCTTGCTTTTTCTTAGCTTTTGGCTTAGAAGTATCATTAATATTCACTAATTTCTTATTTTCAAAATAAACAATAAAATATTCTTATTCAATCCAGCAATTCCACTTCTGGGTATATGTCCAAAATATTAAAAGCAAGAACTCAAACAAAAGGGAAAAAAAAGGATTCAAACAGATATTTGTATACTCATGTTCAAAGCAGCATTATTCACAATAGCCAAATGGTGGCTATTCATATGTTCACACAGGGATCAATGAATAAACAAAATGTGGTCTATACATAGAATGGAATATTATTCAATCTTAAAAAGGGAATGTTGACACATGCTATAATATGGATGAGCCTTGATGACATTATGCTAAGTGAAATAACCCATTCACAAAAGGACAAATACTGTATGATTTTGCTTATATGAGATACCTAGAGTAGTCAAATTCATAGAGACACAAAGTAGACTGGTGGTTGCCAAGGAATGGGAAGAAGGAAGAATGGGTCCTTATTGTTTAATGGGTATGGAGTTTCAGTTTAGGAAGATGAAAACAGCTCTGGAGATGGATTATGGTGATTGCTGAACAACAATGTGAATGTACTTAATGCACTAAACATAAAAATGGTTAAAATGGTAAATTCTATATTATGTACATTTTATCAGGATTTTAAAAGTTCTTATTCAAATGATTAATTTTCTTACCTTCACATTTACTTAAATACATAAAATGAATAGTATTTATATGTTTAATAGGGATATCTTCAGAAAGTGTTTTCTTATTGTTAAGTTTGAGTAACATTAAATATGCCCTTAACTCTTGAAAACCTTTGATTCTTAAAGATGTTTTCTTCATCTATAATTACATGTGAAGAAAAAAATAAAAACAATGTTGGAAAAACACAAAGATATAAGAAATAAAACTAGGCCTCATTTAACATTTTACTACCAGGAGCAAAAGTCTCATAAATAGATAAATTTCACCTTCCTTCAATACAGATATTTTTTAAATAAAGCTTTTTCATTATTACTATAATATAAAATTGTGTTTCCAGGTAATTTTCAATCTATGGTAATATTCTCAAGTGTGAGTACTATAAAATAATCTATTTACAGAATTTCACTATTATGTGCTTGTTTATTTTACAAAAAGTTCAATTAGAGAATACTTTTAAATTCTTAGTTTACAGATATCAATTAAGCACTTTCTGCAATATAGTTAAGGGGTTTAAAAAAAAAAAAAAAGAAAACAACTTAGAAACCACAAAACATCATTCTCCAGGGGTGGGCTGCTCATGTTACGAAAAAAGGAGGAGGGAAGGGAAGGGAAGGGAAGGGAAATGAAGGGAAGAGGCAATGTTTGACTGGTCGATGTCTATCCAAACCTTTACCTAACTCCTACAGCTTCCTTTCCCACTCCTAACTTGGCTACAAATACTTTATAAACAACTTTTATCTACACTCATCTTAATCTCTGTCATGCCACTCTAAAGGAACAAGTGTTTTTCCACCTTATATAAAATGTCTTCATAACTTTAGGATGTATTTCTACATTTACCATCTCTAACTCTTTCCCTTCATTTTAATAAAGATACTTACATTTCTTCTATTTTAAAAACAAAAATCCCTTTCTTACCTTGTACATCTATTTTATTATAGCCTTTATAGTCAGTAACCTTGAAAGTGTAATCTTGACTCCTTCTCTCTACTTCATCTCCACTTCTCTTATCAGCCCACTCTTACCTCTCTCCATCATGCCACTACACTGCTTGTGCTAAGGTCCCAATTTATAACTGGCAAAACCAAGGGACATTTTTCAGACCTCCATTTAGCATCTGACACACCACCACAAATCCTCAAAATTTTCTACATTTCCTTCAAAGTTATTACTCTCTAATCTGCAAAATATTCCAGTTTCTATGATCCTGGTTAAATAGACTTGTATATTATGGTATATATTATAAAGAGAATTTTTACAAAAATTTTAATGCAACCAAAAGTATTGAACAGTTTGTGGTAACAAAACATTTAAAAACAGTTATTAAATTATACATTTTAAACAAAACCCCAAATATTCTAAACTTGCTCACCTTTTTTTGGTGGGGGGCGGTGCGCAGAGGGAGAGAGAGAGAATCTTAAGCATGCTCCATGCCCAGCAAAGAGCCCAAGGCAGGGCTCAATCTCATTACCTCACAACCTTGAGGATCATGACCTGAGCCAAAAGCAAGAGTCGGATGCCCAACTGAACCGGGCCCTGCTCACCTTCTCTTTGATGAAAGGTAGCTATATTACATTTTCTAGCAAATGCTAGAAAATAAAATATTTTCTTCAAGAGAAATATATTTTGACAACAAATGTGAAAATGCTTTTTGAAAAAAAAATGCTTTTTGAAACAGGAACTCATTTATATAGGAAGCATTTTGAAAAAAATGCTTACTGCCAAAAATAAATTAATAATTAGTAAAACTAATAGAATTAATTAAAACACATATCAGAATACTTCAAAAGGTTGGAGAACAAATTTTTATCTCTTCTTAAATCTATCAAAGAATTTAAGTAGGTTTTAAACCTGTTATAAATTTTTTCATTTCCCTCCTAACCCCCTGTTATAAACTTTCAAAAATAAACCTTCCAGTTAATTTGTAGGAGCAAATACCTGACATCAGGAAAGATGGCAATTACTAGCAGATTTCAAGAAGAACCTCTGAACTATTAGTAAACAGAACTGAAAAAGTTTCATGTTAGTAAATAAAACCAATGTTAACATCTCTTTCATTTGGAACCATGTATCTTTATGAGGCATCTTTTCAACTATGAAAGCTAATAAAATCAGGTATTTAAATTACCATACACAATTCCTTTATTATTACATATATTAAATAATTATATTTCACCTATGAGACTGCAAGCTAGTTAAAAGTGGAGACTTGTCTTCATCTTTGTAACCCAGAATTTTGACTAAGACATACAGCAAATAGTTATGCAATAAATACTGTGTGAGTAATCAAAAATATAAGCAAGTACATTAAAATGAAAATATGTACACAGATACATACATACGTATATATGTAATAGTGTAATGTCTGGTTAGGTAAACGAAATGTTACCTAAAATGGGCTTGACCCAAATCACAGTGTTTCCACACCAATTTAATGGTGTTTAATGGCTCAACTTGTAATTATGACTTTCTTAATTAGCATATGTTCTCCTAAATGAAAATATCAGAGTTGCCCTATACATGAGAATCTTTGCTTTCAAAGTGAATCATCAGTGATAAAAGGAATGAATATATAAAATCAACGAACAGTAAAGCAAAACCAATAGAAGAACTTCTTCTGTGACAAAACTATGAATAAATGACCCAGCACAAATGAAACAGTGAAAGTATTAAAAATGAGATTTTCAAAATAACAAATTAGAAATAAAACCCAAATAACAGAATATTTATTATAGGACTCAGTTTATATACACTAATCTCATGAAGAATGTGATGGCTACTTAGCATAATTTTCACCATGGTATAAATTTTCCTTTCATGCTATATTAAACAAAATTTAACAATAAATTGTATAATTATTAATATAAATACTTCCCAATAATAAATTACACTCAGTCCTCTATGGTAGTTAAAGAAGCCCACATTACAATTTTATTTGAAAAAAATTTAGAAAAATAATATTCTATTAGCATCCTTAATTCTAATTGAATCTTTAAAATAGAAAAATAAAATAAAAGAGAACACAAAAGCTATTCGCAAAAAACGAATTAGGATCCCATGTATGTATGTATGTGTGTGTGTGTGTGTGTGTGTATTCACTGATATAATAAACTGCTAAAGGTTACAGTAATTACTAATTACATTCAGAGAAAAATTTTACCTTATAAAAGCTGAGATACAAAATGATTAAGTGAAACTTAAACTGAATTTTATGGATGATATCTACCAATCTTCTGTGCCCAAATTATATCTAGGGTCTTTTTTCTTAAACTGTATTAAAGGCAGTATAGAGCTAAAGAATATAAAATGTACAAAATGGAAGGTATGTTAAAAAAAAAAAGCAGTACTTCTGTAGCAAATGGTATCACTATTTTTCTTTTTCAGAAACATTTTACATGCTGGAAAACTTTCTCCCTCATTCTCAAGTTTATAGTTATGTTAATAATATAAGTGTGATGATATCTAAAAACGTATCCATGTCCTACTGATTGTACTCTAATAGTGCTTAAGAAGAAAAAAACAACTATACTACTTAAAAGATCAAATAAATAAATAAAACAAAGCAAAATAAAATAAAATTTAAAAAGCCAAATTTAGAAGCCAAACTATCCCACTGATACCTACCTCCTGGAAATGCCGTTAGCCAGACATTTATGGCTACAGGATTTGGAGGATAGGGGTGATGAAGTTGGGGACAAGTTGAGAGGGGCAATCAAACTGTTGATGATCTCAGTCAACTGTGCACTCTGCAAAAAAACAATTAACTTTTACTACTGCTAAGCAAGAAATGTGAGTTAGGTCTCACACCTTTAGTAAATGTTTGTATTTTAGTAAATATTTTAACCTACAAAGATGATTTATAACCTATAGATGATTTATACCACTACTAATTTTTCCACTTACTATAAATAAATCTACATTTTAAAGTACTCCTCCTTTTCTATATCCGTTTTCATTACAGTTCCTTTATCTACTCATCCTAATATTTTCTTTAAGGCAGCCAAGTTAATAATAATAAAATCATAGCTATAATTTACTACTATGTGCCAGGCACTACACAAAGCACTAAACATAGATTATTTCTAATCTTCATAACCAACCTGCAAAGTAGTTAATATTAGAAATACTGGTATTACTATTATTAAAATCAATTACAGTTAAGGAAATTGAAGCAAAAAAAGATTAAGCAGCTTGAATAAGGATTATAAAGTTGGTAAGAAATGGAGCTAAGATTCAGATTCAGGCTTGAATCCAATGCCACACTGTTTCTCAGTATTTTTCCTAACTCAAAAATATCAGGTTTGTTTAGGGATTCAAAATTTTCATTGATCCTTATTCCAAACTTAAATATACAAAATATATTTGTAATACATAATAAATATTAAACTTATCAAATTATTCTCAAAACAACCTATAACAATTATAATAAATATAGGTCACATCAGTGGAAACAGCATGTTTCTACAACAGAATGACAACTATTTTCATTACACACACAATCTATGTTTATTATAGAAAAAAGGGAAAGGACTGAAAGGCTTAAAAAGGAAAAGAAAGTCACCTGTAATCATATTACACAGAGAAAAACCACTGTTAATATCTTGGTATATATCCATCTCTCTAGACTAAGTTTTTTGAGATGTGAGCATAAGTGTATACAAAATGCATTATACACACATACACCTACACAAGCACACACACACACACTTTTAACTAAATCATGTCAAATCAATTTTCTAAAACCTGGCTTTCTCACTTAATAATGTATGATTTTATTTTTTTTAAATATGTAGTACTATTTCACCATTTTTATTAATTGAAAGATATTCCATTATAGAGGGGTATATGAAATAATTATTCTTAAATTTTTCATTTGTATGAACCTAATAACATGCTATTAGAAATAATGAGACTAAAGAGTATGATAGAAGTAAATCTAATATTTGAATTCTTCAAAAAGTCTTTGAAAAAGACCCTGTTTTCACCATTTATTTTCTTGAAAAATAATACATACCTAATGATTTTATTTTAAAAATGATTACTCATTTTTAGATTAAAGCTCATTTTCAAAATCAATACAAATAGATTCTCTATACACTTAGTAAGCATTCATTAGTTCACTTATACAAAGAAATTTATAAAGAATCTCATATTTTTCAGTCTGAAACACTGATACATTCTTCTCATTGTTCCACTGCCAAAAATATCATTAAAAACCTTCTAAACCCTGAAGTAACTGGTTAGGTATGTGTGAATAATTGGCCCAGAAGAACAGCATAGCCACCAACCAGTCCAGCCCAATAAAATCTCAAATATCTGAGTCCATCTTTGGGATAAGAAATTCATAGTAAAAATGAGAAAAAAGTAAAATTAGGAGAGGCGTAGTTGAAACTTTGAAAACAAAAACTAATTAACTTGAAAGTTAAAACACTACCTCTTAGATAACAAGGTTTTTAATGTAAACACACCAATGTGAAATTTATTTTATTTTATTTTTTAAAGATTTATTTATTTATTTATTTGAGAGAGAGAATGAGAGAGAGAGAGAGCATGAGAGCAGGGAGGGCCAGAGGGAGAAGCAGACTCCCTGCTGAGCAGGGAGCCTGATGCAGGACTCGATTCCGGGACTCCAGGATCATGACCTGAGCCGAAGGCAGTCACTTAACCAACTGAGCCACCCAGGCGCCCTGTGAAATTTATTTTAAATTATTTAATTTATTTTAAATTACCTTTTAGAACTTTAAATTTAAATTTAAAGTTCTAAAAGAAAGTCACCTTTTATGAACAAAATACATACATTACCTAATAATGCAAGTATACATTAATACTGTAAATCAATGTTATTTTTTAAAACTGATACCAGTATACAACTCAGTAGTGCCTTTATATTTTAACTACCAACTCTTTAACTGCTTTTGAGATACGTAAATAAATTTTGTTTGGTAAACAAAACATTCCTCTAACAAAATGTATTTAATCAAATCATCTATATATCTATATATCACCTGATCTATATTCAAGGCCCACTATGATCAGTGAACAGTTATATACCAACAGGTTATCTTAAGAAAAGTATGTGTATAGATCAATGGAACAGAATAGAGAGCCCAGAAATGGACCCTCAACTCTATGGTCAACTCATCTTTGACAAAGCAGGAAAGAATGTCCAATGGAACAAAGACAGTCTCTTCAACAAATGGTGTTGGGAAAATTGGATAGCCACATGCAGAAGAATGAAACTGGACCATTTCCTTACACCACACACAAAAATAGACTCCAAATGGTTGAAAGACCTCAATGTGAGACAGGAGTCCATCCAAATCCTAAAGGAGAACACAGGCAGCAACCTCTTTGACCTCAGCCGAAGCAACTTCTTCCTAGAAACATCGCCAAAGGCAAGGGAAGCAAGGGCAAAAATGAACTATTGGGACTTCATCAAGATTAAAAGCTTTTGCAAAGCAAAGGAAACAGTCAACAAAACCAAAAGACAACAGACAGAATGGGAGAAGATATTTGCAAATGACATATCAGATAAAGGGCTAGTATCCAAAATCTATAAAGAACTCATCAAACTCAACACCCAAAGAACAAATAATCCAATCAAGAAATGGGCAGAAGACATGAACAGACATTTTTCCAAAGACATCCAAATGGCCAACAGACACATGAAAAAGTGCTCAACATCGCTTGGCATCAGGGAAATCCAAATCAAAACCTCAATGAGATACCACTTCACACCAGTCAGAATGGCTAAAATTAACAAGTCAGGAAACGACAGATGTTGGCGGGGATGCGGAGAAAGGGGAACCCTCCTACACTGTTGGTGGGAATGCAAGCTGGTGCAGCCACTCTGGAAAACAGTATGGAGGATCTTCAAAAAGTTGAAAATAGAGCTACCCTATGATCCAGCAATTGCACTACTGGGTATTTACCCCAAAGATACAAAAGTAGGGATCCGAAGGGGTACGTGCACCCCGATGTTTATAGCAGCAATGTCCACAATAGCCAAACTGTGGAAAGAGCCAAGATGTCCATCGACAGATGAATGGATAAAGAAGAGGTGGTATATATATACAATGGAATATTATGCAGCCATCAAAAGGAATGAGATCTTGCTATTTGCAACGACGTGGATGGAACTGGAGGGTATTATGTTGAGCGAAATAAGTCAAACAGAGAAAGACATGTATCATATGATCTCACTGATATGAGGAATTCTTAATTGCAGGAAACAAACTGAGGTTGCTGGAGTGGGGGGTGGGGTGGGAGGGATGGGGTGACTGGGTGATAGACACTGGGGAGGGTATGTGCTCTGGTAAGCGCTGTGAATTGTGCAAGACTGTTGAATCTCAGATCTGTACCTCTGAAACAAATAATGCAATATATGTTAAGAAAAAAAAGAAGAAGAAGAAGGTAGCAGGAGGGGAAGAATGAAGCGGGGGAAATCGGAGGGGTAGAAGAACCATGAGAGACGATGGACTCTGAAAAACAAACAGGGTTCTAGAGGGGAGGGGGGTGGGAGGATGGGTTAGCCTGGTGGTGGGTATTGAGGAGGGCACATTCTGCATGGAGCACTGAGTGTTATGCACAAACAATGAATCATGGAACACTTCATCTAAAACTAATGATGTAATGCATGGGGATTAACATAAGAATAAAAAAAAATAAAAAAAGAAAGAAAGAAAGAAAGAAAAGTATGTGTAATATCAGGCTTGCTATCCCTGACAATTCTCAACCCTCTTCAACAAGTATTTGAAAACAATGTTTTTAATTGGCCTATAAAAACATTACTAGCATGTTTCAAGAGCAAATGACCTGTTCATAGGCAATGTACTAATGACCTCTACAAGAGATTGCTGCTGTCCCTTTCTTATCCTTTTGCTCTACTCTCCCTCTATCTAGAGCCATTGCCATTGTTCTCACACTCCTGGTTCCCTTCTCTTTCAAAGCCTCTGGCCCTCCTGTCAGCAATGGGACCAAAAATAAACATAATACCCAGGGCCAACTCCATGGTGAGCAACCTGAGCAGTCACACAGGGCTGCCCTCAGAAGGATCCCTTGCTTGGTTAATGCCCTCCTGTCACTGACTTATCTCTTCAAAATTGTTTTTAACAAAGAGCTATGCAATTTCATTTTGCACTGGACCCTGTAAATTAGCCAGTTCTGATGTTAACTCCGGTCTAATAAAACAAATTGTTGCTACCAAGGAGAAAGAAAAAAATACAAAAAATCTCTTTCCAAAGGATAAGTAGTAACCTACAGGTAAAGAAAACAGAAGACCTGACTGACCAAACAAATACATTATTCTGGAGTGTGAAACAATTAGGGCCAAACTGAAAGGGTAGTGATCCCATGGGATGAAGAGAGAGAAAAGAGAGGGAAATGGGAACATAACCAACACTATTTAAAACACCACTTATATGGTAAAGTGCATTCCAATTTAATACTAGATAATTAAAAAATAACTCTCTGAATTTCAAAATATTCATAAAAGTATTTTGTTTATGCATTTGTGCAATTATTCAACTAAGGAAAAACTCTAGGCAACTGTAAATTTAACAGATATGGGGTGAGAGGTGTTGCACCATACTCTGACTTACCAGGCATAAAACAGTAGTAACCTAGTACTAAATTATTTTACAATATATGTCAGAAAAATCTAGAAAAATTAGATGTGAGCAGGCACGAATCCACCTTACTCACTGGAACAAGGCAATCATGCAGCTGTGATCCCAACTAGGTCTATTTCAGCAGATTTAGATTGGTTACAAAGTAACAAACGCTTAGAAAGCCAGGTTTGTTCAAGAGCCACCAAAGTCTAAAAATAAATGGTGTGATTTCAAAGGATAGATAGAGGACAGAGTAATTAAACTTCTGGGGTCATCCATAATAGAATTTCAATATCAGGAAAAGCTTTAGAATCAAAATAATTTGTTAGGGGCTTATTTGCCATTTATTTACATGAACTTTTTATGAAAGAATTGATATTCTGATACCTTTCATTAAAAATCTCTATCAATAAATTGATCAAACAACCATTCAGATCTATTAAATGGTATCACTGTTCTTTCCTCATGAAAAAAAAGTCCAATGATGAGCAGTTTTGTTAGAAAAAAGATATTCCAATCCTAGTATAAATGAGTTATCATCCTATGGCTGTGTACCAATATTTTATATATTTAAATAATCTTAATTATATCAATGTTATAAGAAAGACACATCATATACTACATATTTTAATTGTATTTAATGTCAAATGGCAAACCTTAATAACTAATACCCCAAGCAGACGCACAGGTTTATTTGAATAGTGTGTAAAACTGATTAAAAGTCATTTCATGCCACTCACATCTTACTCTTCCATCACATTACCTGTTTTTCTATGTTGCGAAGAAGAAGTGTAGGGCTACTTGGTGACATTTCAAAATCTTGTTCTGGTAAAGGATCTTGACTCTCTTGGGGAATCTGGGGATTCCCTGTAGTATTTAATGAAGCCGCTTGGTCAGCAAATTGTATTTGTTTTTTCAAAATGTCTTTTGGAAGTTGACATTCTTCTAGGATCACTATCCCCTAGGCAAACAGCAATTAAAGAGTTGAAATGAAAACAAATTGACTGCTAAATCAACTTTAACGTTACAATGCACTTGAAACCATGCTTCTTATTATCACCTGGAAATCAGAAAGTACACTTGAAAGTAGAGTCTAACTGTAAAAAATTGGCTGATTTAAAACATGTGTAGCTAAAGCAACACCTATGTCTGATGGGTTAGGCTTGTAAAATATTGTCATAAATTGTATATATTCAGTTATTTTTCTTCTTACTGGTTTTAATTATTAGCAGTAAAAGCATGATACATTTAAAATAAAGGCTTATATGCAAAACATGAACATTTCACACTGAAATTTAGAACACTTCCTTATATAATCTTCAGATATTTTGGTCACTAGCATTTCCATTTGAGTACTCCCAGTTTCATAAATTAAAATACCAAACTTCCAAACATCCAAACAACATTCTGACTTTATACTAAACTGCTTTCAGAGCACTCTTAGGAGTTCCATCTCTGTTGCTGCCAGCCAGCAACCATGGGCAGGACTGCACTATTGAGAAGAAGTATTCTCTAGGCCAGTTAAATTGTTGCTTACAAGGTAGATGAGTTAATAATAAAGACACAAGTTTTCAACTGTGATGGGGTATTTTCTCAAATGTAAATAACTAGAGGAAAGAGTAGGGATCTAGCTGCCTCTGTTCTCCCTACCATTCACACACACACACACACACACACACACACACACTCACTCTCTCTCTCACAACTGGCTTGCTGAATATTCTCCCATATTCCCCAGAGTCTTCACTCCAACTGTTCTTACCCTTATGCCCCTCAAAGGCAATGAAGACAGAAGAGAAAGGAGGAAAAATAATGCACAGATATGATCTTAACAGTTTCATTATCAGTTCTTCAGTAAAACTTTTTTCCCTCCCTACCCCTTCTACCACTTTTCCCCCTGCAAAGAATAACATGCATTTTCACATAATGTATAACGTATATGTGTGTGTGTGTGTGTATATATATGGTTATTTTGCAAAACGTCAATGAGCTCCTAATAGGCTAGTTGGAAAGGTATTAAATACCTATATGGCTAAAATATTATATTCTTGTAATGAAAAATAGTCTAAAACATTAATATAAGTGTAGAGTATTTTAAGATGGGACAAATTTAAAAACTGGTATGGGCCAGCTTATATCATATACAAGTGCTATTTCCAGGATTGAAACTGCCTATAAATTATAATGTTATAGATGAGTAGTTTGTTTGTTTGTTTAAGATTTTATTTATTTATTTGACAGAGAGCGAGACAACGAGAGAGGGAACACAAGCAGGAGGAGTGGGAGAGGGAGAAGCAGGCTTCTCGCTGAGCAGGGAGCCCAATGTGGGGCTCGATCCCAGGACCCTAGGATCATGACCTGAGCCGAAGGCAGATGCTTAACGACTGAGCCACCCAGGTGCCCCTAGATGAGTAGTTTTAATTTACACTATAATTTGGAGAATATATCACTTTAGCATGAACATATTCAGGTATGGCATCAAACATACATTATTATTTTGTAGTAATATATTACCACCGATGTGTGGTAAAAGTAACAAAAAAGTTATTACTGTTGTTGTTATTATTTTTAACCTTCACTTACAACTGTGCTAGTAACTTTTACAAAAAGGAGAGCCAACTGTTGATCCCATCTCAATGACTATTTTCCTAGAATGCACAAATATGGCTGTCAAGAAATCTAAAGAAATATATTTTTAAAAAATTTTTGTTTCATTTGATATTTTAAAACTTAAAGTAGACTTGGGGCACCTGGGTGGCGTAGTCGGTTAAGCGTCCGACTCTTGGTTTCAGCTCAGGTCATGATCTCAGGGTCGTGAGATCGAGTCCCATGTCCGGCTCTGCTTAAGACTCTTTCTTCTTCTCCCTCTGCCCCTCCCACTTATGCTCTCTCTCTCAAATAAATAAATATTTTTAAAAAGTTAAAGTAGACTTGATGGATATAATATCATCAATCTCAAAAGCTCTTGGAAGTATCTGAAACGTCCATTCAAAATGTGTACAAGTATCTCACTAGATTTTTCAACAGTATCTGCTTGCAAAACAAATACAAGTTTTTATCATATCAATTTAGCTGTAATTCCCTTTGGTTTGATTAGTTTATTTTATGGGCCAGGCTGCTATGAATTCAGCCTGGTTTCATAACCGTTACTAAGAATCTTGTACATACTGAAAAACTGATTCTGAATTTCAAACGGTCAATTTTCAAACCTTTAGACTACTATCTTTTTAGAAGTAGGGGGCCTGCTACAGTTAGTTCAATGAAAAGTAATATTTTAAAAATTCAACCAGGAAGACATTCATAATCAAGTTCATAATCTTTTTTTTTTTTCTCCTTAAACTCTCACAAATGGCCAAGAACAGAGTAAAAAGGGAAAAAGATTAAACCCTTTAAAGACACTACAGAGACAGTTTCAGTTCTTAAAAATCAAGAAAAGAATATATGTGTGTTGGGTCACCACCATGATGTACGCTTAAACATCTTACAATTTTGTCAGTCATACCTGAATAAAGCTGAATTAAAAAAAACACTCAGGAAAGAATAGCCTATTCATAGATAAACAAGGTAAATAACAAAAACATGAAAATTTTTTAGTAAGATGAGTTGCAAAAACTGAGACAAATGAAAACTCTAGAATAAGATGAAAGCAAGTCAACTGCTCCAGAGAAGACAACTGTTCCTGATAATAACACTAAAGAAATCCTTACCCCACTCCCAGGGTCCTCACAGAGAAGACACAGCATAAAAAAATAAATTACCTCAGCAACACCTTCAGTATTTATATAAAGTCACCAAAGCTAATTTTTTTAAAAATTTTAAATGAGAGACACCCGGGTGGCTCAGTCAGTTAAGAGTCTGTCTTTGGCTCAGGTCATGATGCGAGGGTCCTAGAAAGGGCTCCTTGCTCAGCGGGGAGCCTGCTTCTCCCTCTGCCTGCCACTCCCCCCCACCCCTGCTTGTGCTCACACAACTCTCTCTCTGTCTGGTAAATAAATAAAATCTTTTTAGAAAAAGTATCAAACCTTAAAACAAATTTTAAATGAAAAATTTTAAATGCACAAAATTACAATTTAAAATGTAGAAGACCCTATCACAAGGTAACAAAAGAAATCTAAAAGAGAAACCATTTAATATAGGATAGCCAGCTTCTCAACCAAAAAAAACTATTTTAATACTTTTCTGAAAGTGACAAGAGGCTATACTGTCTTAGTGAAAGCTGAAGCAAAGAAAAGGAGAAACATCGAAGTTGTAATGTGTTGACAAAGCATTGGAAGAACAAGGAAGGAATGTTGTTAACATGGGCTTTCTTTTCTCTAAAAATGTTAGCAAATATTAGATGACCCCAATATGTCATAGAAGGAGCAAATGACAGCTTAAAAACCCAAAACGTGTAGATCTACTAGTAGATCGACTCAGTGTTTCCTGACCAGTGTTACCAACTAGCACTTATTTAAACAAGATATTTACATCTTTGTAAATAACATCTCTCAACCTCTTTCCCTTTCCCGTATCTCTAATTTAACTGAGAAGAAAGGATTTTTTTTTTAACTTTCAAGATAAGTTAAATAGAAAGGTCATTCTACACTTCTCAATTTTTTAATTACAATAACTCAAGAAGCTAGAAGAGCAAAGTGCTATTTTCTCTTTTCAGTATAATAGTTCAACTAAACTGCACATAAATAAGCAATTAAACATCTTGATTAATTCCCAAGAAATGTAAGGAGAAACTACTAAAATAAAGAAATACTGTAATGGTATTTTTCATAAAGTAAACATAATGTGATTCTCAAGAAAACAGAGGTCCAGATACACATCTAGCCAGAACCAAGAAAAATGTAAGGCCATATAAATTATTACTGGGAAGTTTAGATTTCTTTCCTAAAAATAATTTATTCCCCAGATGTTATATAAACATACAAATTTTTTAAAATGTTTTAAAAAGTACATCACAGTGTTTAGAACACACAAGTCATAAAATACGAACCAGACTGTGTAGATTCAAGTATAAAACTTAGTCATCAATTTAACTAGGAATCCACTTTCTTGGAAATTTCCCAAATTGTTTTAAACTTGACTTGTTTTGAGAAGTCTACGATTAAAAACGCTTGTGATATTACATCCTTTAAAGTAAATGATCAGAGAGGAGAAATTATCTGGTGATCCTGAAAGAACAAGGAAATCACTACAACTAAAGGCTTCAGTGAAGACAGTTAAAAATGAGAAACAGTAACTACTTCCATCAGGAAATTATTCTTGAACAGAGTTCCCTCAAATCCAACAGACAGAACAGGTAAGCCTAAGATTTTATGTCTATCCTTCTATCCACCTTCCTACAGACATCACCACCAAATTCTACAATTCATTCCTTCCTAGTTTCTTCTCCCATCCTTACAAAACTCATACTTTCCACTCCTTTGAATACCATTCTACTTTGTCATTCCCAAAACATATTATGTTGTTTCATGTCTTCAAACCTTCAAGGAATGCCCTTTTCCAGTTCCATTGGTTCACCAAGCAAACTATTATTTATCTTTCAAAATTATACTGAGGCATCACCTCTTTTATTGATGTTTTCTCTGAACTGCTAATCCCTAAAATAAGAGTTATGTATTCTCTCTATGCCACTTCTATATCTTATTAAAAACATGTATCATTGCACCTATTTCATTATATTATAATTAATTATTTACATGGTCTATCTCCCCTACCAGAATATAAACTCATGACTATGTCTAAAACTTAATTATCTTTATTTATGTGCAGACCCTAGGTAATGTTGGGCTAACCACATGGATAACCATATGATTAAGAACTCCGATTCCTTTCCTTTTCAGCATTTTCTTCTCAGACCAATCACCATCAGCCTTAGAATATTATCTCCATTATGTCCACAGTTTCATGATGTAGAACATACTTTTTCATAAAAACAAAGTTACAAAAAGATCTTTAGCAATATTTAAATTAAATAGCATTTCATGGGATTGTAATGAGAACTCTTTATAGTATTGCTTCAATGGGAAAATGTACTTTGAGTTCCAAGCAAACAGCCTATAATTTTGGGAAACAGTATGTCTTTAAGCTAGGAAAACCCCATGTTAAATTTCTGGTTTAATTCTGGTTGGAATTAAAACAATATTTATTTGTGTAATCATTTGCTTACTTTCACCCCCATTTGACTTAAGCCCTAAAAATGTAGCAACTTTGTGGGTTTTGTTCACCACTGTATACCTTAAGCACATATTATGCTAACGACTGTATGTGAAAGGAAAAATGGGAAAGAGTGAAGGAAAGGAGGGAAGGCAGAAAATAAGACAGGAAGGAGAAATGAATTTTATTTAAAAATTGCTACAATATAATAACTTTTTAACTGCCATTTCTACTGAATAACTCCAAATCTCTATCTTCTTATAAACCTGCCTTCTCCAATAACTCTTATTTTCAACTTTTTAGAGCATCTCAATATGAGTATCTGATAGAACTTTTAAGTCAGTGTGTGAGAAAGCTTATTTTTATCAACTTTCCTATAAAATAAGCACTTTTTTCCTTCTATAGAAACAGCAGGTAAATAACTAAGAGGGGAGATAGTGGTGATGTTTACACAACCATATATTTGTCAAAATTCAGTGAATTGCTAAAAATACGTCTTCTGAGAACAAGATAAACAAAATAAAGATAAATCCGTAATTAGACCTATCAGTAAAAAAATGTAGAACATCAAATAAACAAAAATAACTTTTTAAGTTACCAGATAGAAAAGACAAAGTACTTACAAAGGAAAAGCAATTCTACTGACGGTAGACTGCTCATCAGTATTAAACAAAACAATGAAATAGGATCTTTAAAAGGCAAAATAACCATCAAATTAGAATTTTATATCGACCTAAAGTATCACTGAAGAGTGAGGGTAAAATAAAGGTATTTTGAGACATAAACTACTAAAGAATGTATTTCAGCAAAATGTAAACCAAGAGAGAAAAGGTAGTGTAGAAGAGACTGCAAACTTCCCAATACCCACTTTCCTCTTCTTTTTACAACAAAACTCCACTCCTACTGGAGTTCTAGCTATGCATACAACTTCTCATTGTAAGGCTGTATGATTCACCTCTCCTTCCTGCAGATATGTGCCTAAATTTGGGTCAATGAGTGTGACACAAAGTAGTACAATTTCCAAGTCACCTCCCACCTAAAGACAAACTATGTTACACTTTTCTCACTTCCCAGGGGCCGGAATGAGGGAATGACTACAACCCTGTTTAATAGTGCAGTCAACAATTACCCTAGAGGACAACAAAGCAGCAAAATAGAAAAAACCAAGTTGCTCCACCAGCCTGTATTCACTCCCTCACTTTTGAAGTGTTATGTACCTTAATAAAGCGGCAATATTTGGGAGTTTCTTTGTTATAGCAGCTTAAACCTGTAAACTAACTTTATAGGTAGAACATAAGAACAGTTAGCACATTTTTTTTAAAGATTTTATTTATTTATTTGAGAAAAAGAGAACGAGCGGTGGGGAGGGAAAGAGGGAGAGAGAGAGAGAGAGAGAGAAGCAGACTCCCCACTGAGCAGGGAGCCTGGATGCGGGGCTAGATCCCAGGACCTCAGGATCATGACCTGAGCCAAAGGAAGACGTATAACTGACTGAGCCACCCAGGCGTCCCAGTAAGCATATTTTTAATAAAATTAGTTAGAAATATAATTATTGATTATAAAAAAAGGAACTAGATTGTAGTAGATCTATTCAACGAGTAGTTAGAAAGTATTAGAATCCATGTTTTAAGTAAAAAATAGTATAAAAATACTGAGTACTTTTTAGTCATTGTTAGGATTACTTTTAATTAAGAAGTATATTAAAAATTAGGAGTAACGACAAAGAATAAAACTATAATGAATAGCTTCTAAACCAGCAGAGGGAAAAGAACGAAGCAAATTCTACCAATCCAACAAGAGAGGTAAAAAAAACAAGACTTATGGGGTGTCTGGGTGGCTCAGTTGGTTAAGCATCTGCCTTCAGCTGAGGTCACAATCCCAGGGTCCTGGGATTGAGCCCCACATCGGTCACCCTGCTCAGCAGGGAGCCTGCTTCTCCCTCCCCCTCTGCTGCTCCCCCTGTTTGTGCTCTCTGTCAAATAAATAAAAATCTTAAAAAAAAAAAGACAAATACAAAGAGAGGAGAATAAGGGCAAATGAAAAATCAAAAATCTGAGGTGATTTTTTAATCTAGCTATTTATAGTTTATAAAAAGAAATACCTAGAATAATAAAAAAATTTGTATCTATTAAACAGCATTCCTTCAAGAAGTAAGAAGCAGAAACAGAATTACCAGAAAAAACTGAAAAATTCACAACAATGGGGTAAATTTTAACAAAAGTATTTTAACAAAAGTTTTATTTCCATCATAAATGGAAAGATCTAGAGGTATAAACATATAGCAGATATATACAATAAAGTCAACAAATTTAATAAAGAATTCTATACTGAACACATAAAGAACATGCATTCTTTTCTGTTACATATACTAAAATAATGAAAAGACAAGCTACAACATGAGAGATTTGTAACATTTATAACTGACCAAGAATAGTCTCCAAAATTTAAAAAGAATTCACAGACACACATCTCCACCAACCAGAGCCCTTTCCCCACCCCACCAAAAACAGTGAATACAAAAGGTAGTTAGTTCTTAGGTAAAAAAAACATTTGGTGATCAATTATACCGAGGCCCAATTCTCAACACTAAGGAACAATTAAATTAAAACAATAAAATAATACTTCATACTCATTACACTGGAAAATTAAAATGTCAAAAATTATGAAATGTTGGCAAGAATGTGGAAAAACAGGTGCTCTCACGCACTGCCAGTGGGAATATTAACTATCCAATCACATCAGTAAGTATAGGAAAGCTAAAGACAGCCAGACCTAAGATCCATCATTTCCACTTTTAGGCATATACCAAGAACCCTCCACAGTTCACAAAGAAACACAAAAAAGATAGTCATTACAGTATTGTTTTTACTAGCATAAAACTACACAATGTATGTCTATCAGTAGAAAATAGAAGAGATAAACATTGCATTGTATTCATACAATTCCATCTCATTCATACAATTAAATAACATACAGGACCTATAAAATTTATGCTGAGCAAAAACAAGCAAGTCACAAAAGAGTTTGTAGTATATATGTCATTAATACAGACTGTAAAATCATGGAAAAATAAATACTAGTTGTAGACACAGATAGACATCTATGTGCCAAGAGTATAAAAACATACATAAATATAATAAACGTCAAAACATGCTGGAATCAAAATAGTGGCTACAGTGGCATGCAGAAAGAGAATGGGATCAGGAAGGATTATATAAGTACCTCAACTGTACAGGTGATGCTTTATTACTCTAAAAACTAAACCCAAATAGTAAAAATTTAACACTTGATAAATTCGGAGGTGGAAACAAAGGTGTTCATTATATTGCTTTCTAGAGCTTTTTATGTGTTTATAGTTTTTCTTAAAACAAAACCTCTAAGGGGATTCAATAAAATACACACAGAATTTCTCACATATGTTAAAATAAATGCCATCAAAGTAGAAGTTTATAAAAGGGTACCTAATTTCTATTAATTGGAATCCAATTAAGAAGCTCTGAACTGCTCAAGTATGATAAAATGACCACGATAAATACAAAGACATTACAATGATAGCTTCAATTTACAGCAATTGATATATAAAAAATGTTAATATTAACTACATTTTTATAAAGCCTTGTAACAATTACTTTGTGTGGAGAGATGAGAAACTAAACTGTAATAATTTTTTTAAAAATACAAGAATACAAACAATACCTTGGATGCACGAATCTGCCTGTGAACATCCGTTAGTTGTTGGATTTTGTATTCGAGCTCTGAAATCTGGGCCTGAAGCCATGTCCATCGGCTGCCAACTCTAGCTCTGTCTACAAGCCACTTCCATTCAGTACTAGAATTACTGTGAACGAGACAAACACTGTTAGTCAAAGAACAAAGGCAATCAAGTTTTCAGACTACTTAATAAATTCCTTGACGCCTGTCATATAATCCTCATTCCTTTATACAACATCTAATTACGTGAAAGAAGAATCTGGTATCAACTCTTATCAAAGAAAAACATTTAACTTCCTTATCTTTCTAACGGATAAACACTTGTTTTTATTATTACATATCCAGTAATAAGATAATCTCCTCTGCTACTTAATATTTTATTAATATGCACAAGGGCTGAAATAGGAGTGGGCCAGCAAAAGAAAGAGGAATGATACTACTAACTCCACATAAAAACTGTTACATGAAGTTTCTATATGTAAGAAGTATTGGGTAAGTCATCTGAACTATGCTAGATCTAAATCTATGTAATAAACCAGAATACTCAATTTTATTATATGCAAATTTTCATTTGTTAAAACAGTAGTCACTGTTAGCTAATTAAATCCCTAAAATCAATTTAAATATATTGTCAAAAAGTATTGAAAATATGAGTGCTCTACCTTTCAAATAAGTATACCAAATATATGTCTTGAAATGTTTATTAAGATAAATAGCTTGTTAAAACCTGATTTCCAGGGGCGCCTGAGTGGCTCAGTTTGTTACAAGTCTGCCTTCGGCTCAGGTAGTAATCCCGGGATCCTGGGATCAAGCCCCACATCGGGCTCCTGATCATCGGGGAGCCAGCCTGTCCCTTTGCCTTGCTCGTGCTCTCTCTCTCTCTCAAATAAATAAATAAAATCTTTTAAAAAAAAAGGGGGGGGCGCCTGGGTGGCTCAGTCGTTAAGCGTCTGCCTTCGGCCCAGGTCATGATTCCAGGGTCCTGGGATCCAGTCCCACATCGGGTTCCCTCCTCGGCGGGAAGCCTGCTCTCCCTCTCCCACTCCCGCTGCTTGTGTTCCTGCTTTCGCTATCTCTGTCTCTGTCAAATAAATAAATAAATAAATAAATAAATCTTTAAAAAAAATAAATAAAATTTTTAAAAAGGGGGGGGGGAGACGCCTGGGTGGCTCAGTCGTTAAGCATCTGCCTTTGGCTCAGATCAAGATCCCAGGGTCCTGGGGTCGAGTCCCACATAGGGAATCCTTGCTCAGCAGGGAGCCTGCTTCTCCCTCTGCCTGCCGCTCCCCCTGCTTGTGTTCTCTCTCTCTGACAAGTTAAAAAAATAATAATAATAAAATAAAATTAAGAAAAAAAACCTGATTCCCAGGATTCAGAGCCCAAAGATGAGAAAGAATTTATATAAAGACTTTTCTGTCATACATATTTGAAAATAAGGGTTGAACCCTACTCCTCTATCTTTTGGCAAGGGTACTACTCTAATCCATAGTTTGTGAGATTACAAATTAATTACTTTATGAAAATATTCTAACCATTCCAACTAGAAAACAGTTATTTGGAATAACTAATTAAGAGCTTCAGATTACAAAAGAAAACATGACAGAAATTGAAGGTATAAATGAAAACCAAAAAATACTTAATGGCAGAACACAAACTTTATGAAAAACTTGTCTAAAAATTACATTTACTGTCAAAACCCATAGAATGTACAACACCAAGAGTGAATCCTCACGTAAAGCATGCACTTTAAGTGATAACAATTTGTCAATGTAGGTTCATAGATTGTTACAAATGCACTACTCTAGTATGCAGTATATTGATAGTGGGGGAGGTTCTATCAGTGAAGGGGGTATATGGGAACTCTGCATTTTCTGCTTAATTTTGCTATGAACCTAAAACTGTTCTTAATAAAAAGTTTATTAATGTTACACATTTAACCATAATTGAATGTCTCCCATACAAACTTTAGCTAGAGAAAACTTACCCTAAAAGATAATTTACTGGGGCGCCTGGCTGGCTCAGTTGGTAAAACATGTGATTCTTGATCTTGGGGTTGTGAGTTTGAGCCCCACACTGGGTGTGGAGATTACTTAAAAATAAATTTTTTTTAAATAAAATAAATAAAAATAAAAAAATAAAAGATCATTTGTTGTGATGAGCACTGGGTGTTGTGCTGAATCACTAAACTGCACATCTGAAATGAATAATACACTGTATGTTAACTAACTGGAATTTAAATAAAAACTTACAAAAATAAAATAAAAGATCATTTGTTGTCAGAGAAACAGAATAAATTATTATAACTTTACTATATAGAATATATTCATTGTAACAGGATTTTATATTAAATCAATGTCCCTAAGAGCTATTTTTGTTTGTTTTTTTAATATTTTTTATTTATCCATTTGAGAGAGAGAGCATGAGCAGGGTGGGGGGGCAGCAGAGGGAGAGGGAGAAGCAGACTCCCTGCTGAGCAGGGAGCCCCATGTGGGACTCGATCCCAGGACCCTAGGATCATGATCCAAGCTGAAGGCAGATGCTTAACCAACTGAGCCACCCAGGTACCCAAAGAGATACTTTTGTTAATATTCTAATTGCACACAATATGATTGAGGAGACCTTCATATAAGAATTCTCTTAGTATTACTATGTATTCAGTTTATAGTCATTATTGTGCTTTTTAAATTTGACACACTTTTAAATCATATTTTCATAGTTATGAAAATAATAGAAGAGAATGTCTATTCAAAATAATATTAAAATGGAGGGGCACCTGGCCAGCTCAGTCAGAGGAGCATGCAACTCTTGATCTCAGGTTTTGAGTTCAAGGCCCACGCTGGGTGTAGAGATTACATAAATAAATAAACTTAAAAAAAAAAAATAATATTAGCTCTTCCCTTCTGTGGCCACTGTTGAAGTGCCAGCAGCCAAAATGAAGTTCAATCCCTTGACTTCTGAGGACCAAGAGGCATTTCAATGCATCTTCCCACATTTGCAGCAAGATTATGTCTTCCCCTCTTTCCAAAACGCTGAGACAGAAATACAATATTTGATCCACGCCCACCCAAAAGGATGAAGTAAAGGCTGTGTGAGGACACTACAAAGGTCAGCAAATGGGCAAAGTAGTCCAGGTTTACAGGAAGAAATATGTCATCTACACTGAACAAGTATAACAAGAAGGCAAACGGCACAACTGTCCAAGTGGGCACTCACCCTAGCAAGGTGGTTATCACTAAACTAAAACCGGACAAAGACCACAAAAAGATCCTTGAACGTAAAGCCAAATCTCACCAAGTAGGAAAGGAAAAGGGCAAATACAAGGAAGAAACAATCGAGAAGACGCAAGAATAAAGTAATCTTATATACAATAAAAACTGTTAAGTGGCTGGGTGGCTCAGTTGGCTAAGCATCTGCTTTCAGCTCAGGTCATGATCCCAGGGTCCTAGGATCAAGCCTTGCGTTGGGCTCCCTGCTCAGCAAAGGGTCTGCTTCTCCTGCTCCCTCTGCCCCCGCCCCACCCCTGTGCATGCACACTCTCTCTCTCAAATAAAATCTTTAAATAAAGAAATAAATAAAAACTGTTAAAATGAAAAAATATTAAAATAGATAGTAATATCTATTATTCATAGATATTATTTAATAACACTAACTGCCAATCATGAAATTAGTGATAAAGGCAAGGGCCATGGCACACAGCAGTTGTACAGGTTAATGGTAAAGTGTTGGATTTTATGCAAAAAGGAAGTCTTTTTTTTATTTTATTTTTTTAAAGATTCCATTCATTTATTTGACACAGAGAGAGAGAGAGCACAAGCGGGGGAGCGGCAGGCAGGCAGAGGGAGAGGGAGAAGCAGGCTCCCCGCTGAGCAAGGAGCCTGACTGGGGGCTCGATCCCAGGACCCCAGGATCATGACCTGAGCTGAAGGCAGCCGCCCAACCGACTGAGCCACCCAGGCACCCCAAAAAGGAAGTTATTATCAAGACATTAACAAAAATTTTTTTCCCAAGCACTCTGGCTACTAGGTAGAGAAAGCATTAGAGTGGGATATGAGAAGAAATAAGGAAATCAATTAGGATGCAAATAGAGTAATCTGTGTGTGGTACAGATAATTGTGATCTCCAAATATGTCATGTGCTATCCTACATTTCCCAGCCTTCCTTGCACTTAGGTTGGAGCTGTGTGACTAATTCTGACCAATGGGTTGTGAGCAAAAGTGACCTAGTCATTTCCAGTCCATCAGACAACCTTCAAAGCCACCAGTGCAGACAGTAGAGCTACAAGATGTGTGAGGATCACAGCCCAAACCACACCGGCTTTTATGTAAGCCACAGCAAACCTTGGCTCTGTTAAACCACTGAGACTAGAAGGTTAATTTGTTACTCTAGAGCCCAATCTAACTAAAACACTGAATAAAAAATGAAAATGGCATGAACTAAGAAGGGAGGGTAAGATAAAGAAGAGATGAAGAGGATGGATTCAAGGTTCACTTTAAAGCTGAAAGGACTTGGCAGAAGTATGCTGTAGGAATAAGTATGGGGAAATCAAAGATGATCTTAAACATTCTTTCATTAAATTTTGTTCCAGTTGAAAACTTTCCCTATAATATGCAATTTTGCTTGATGGTCAAACCTCATGATTAGCTAAAAAAAAAAAAAAAAAAAGTTATGGAGCCCATCTTATTGTACTTCTAGTAAAAATATTCTGATAGTGAAATTGTCCACAAAAATGATTTTCATGTTCATATAGTACATTAAATTATACTACCACGGGGAAAAAAAGTAATATCAGATTAGATTTAAATAAACTAAGTAATCCTAAGGCTTTGTAATATTTGAAATGAATTTTCTGTAAAGGATACCTTATCCTATATTTTAATAGGACTGAATAAAATCTGTTTGCATATTCCATCAGTCCACATCCTTGCTTGTTTGTAGTCACCACTTAACTTGCTGAATAAAATAAGTACAGGCTATTTAGACCAAGTGGTAAGTACAATTTCTCTAGATACTAACTTCTGGTCAACATCATGAACTTATATCCCTGCTTTAACCCTGAAATAGAGTTCCCAAAATAAGACAGAGCTTTCTAATATTACATCTTAAAACACCAAGATTAAAGAGAGACATATTAATTTTGCCTTTAATATAAAGATTAGCTTACTAGTAATGATGAATCAACTATTACAAAAAAAATCAAAAAAGAAGATCCAGTTGTGAAAAATGACAATCCCAAGAAAAGCCCAAGAAAAATATAAGGTTTGGGGGCGCCTGGGTGACTCAGGTATGGTCCCAGGGTCCTGGGATCGAGCACCGCATCAGGCTCCCTGCTCAGTGGGGAGCCTGCTTCTCCCTCTCCCACTCCCCCTGCTTGTGTTCCCTCTTGCTGTGTCTCTCTCTGTCAAATAAATAAATAAAATCTTTAAAAAAAAAAAAGAAAGAAAAATATAAGGTTTGTCCTTAATTACATTAAACTGAGCCAAACTTCGCTACTGGTGTTTGCTCACCTAGAAAGAGCTTACCTTTCCCTGGAATTTGATTCCTTCAGACCAGCGTTTGGCAAATATTTTCTGTAAAAAGGCAGATGGTAAATATTTTAGGCTTTGTGGCCAACCTGGTCTCTTTAAAATAACTACCCAACTCTGCCATTATAGCATGAGAGCAGCCATAAATGAATGGGTGTGATGGTGTTTTGTAAACTGTGCTTACAAAAACAGGCAATGGGTAATTTTGAGAACAAAGAATAAAGCTAGAGGATCACAATCCCAGATTTCAACCTACACTATAAAGCTACAGAAATCAAAACAGCATGGTTTTGGCACAAAAATAGACACATAAATCAAGAGGACAGAATAGGGTCCAGAAATAAACCCATGCATATATGATCAATTAATCTATGACAACAGAGGCAAGAATTTACAATGGGGAAAAGACAGTCTCTTTAATAAATGGTATTGGGGAAACTATACAGCTACAGGCAATAGAATGAAACTGGACCATTTTCTTTTTTTTTTTTTTAAGATTTTATTTATTTATTTGACAGAGACACAGCGAGAGAGGGAACAACACAAGCAGGGGGAGTGGGAGAGGGAGCCCGATGCGAGGCTCGATCGCAGGACCCTGGGATCACGACCAGAGCCAAAGGCAGACACTTAACGACTGAGCCACCCAGGTGCCCCAAACTAGACCATTTTCTTACATCATATACAAAAATAAACTCAAAACGGATTAAAAACTTAAATATAAGACCTGAAACCATAAAGTTCTTAAAAGAAAACACAGGCAGTAATCTCTTGGTCACTGGACTTAACATTTTTCTGGATATGTTTCCTCAGGTAAAGGTGACAAAAGCAAATATTGCATTGGGACTACATCAAACTAAGAACTTTTGCATAATAAAGGAAACCATCAACAAAACAAAAAGGCAACCTACCAAATGGGAGAGGATATTTGCAAATGATACATCTGAAAAGGGGTTAATGTTCAAAAATATATAAGGAATTCATAAAACTCAACACCAAAGAAACTAATAATCAGATTTAAAAATGGGCAAAGGACCTCAACAGACATTTTTTCAAAGAAGCCATACAAATAGTCAACAGATATATGAAAAGACGCTAAATATCACTAATCATAAGGGAAATGCAAATCAAAACCACAATGAGATATCATCACCTCACACCAATCAGAATGGCTAGTATCAAAAAGACAAGAATAAATGTTGGTGAGAATATGGAGAAAAGGAAACTCTCATGCACTGTTGGTAAGAATGTAAATTGGTGCAGCCACAATGGAAAATAGTATGGAGGTTCTTCAAAAATTAAAAATTGAATGATCCAGTAGTTCCACTGCCAGGTATTTACCAAAGAAAATAAAAACACTAATTCAAAAAGATATATGCACCCCTATATTTACTGTAGCATTATTTACAATAGCCAAGATAAGGAAGCAATCTAAGTGTCCACTGATAGGTGAATAAATATGTCACACATACACACACAGAGAAATACTACTCAGCCATAAAAAAGAACAAAATCTTGCCATTTTGAAAACACAGATAGAGCTAGAGAGTATTATACTAAGTGAAATAAGTCAGGTAGAGAAAGGCAGATACCATATGATTTCACTTATATGTAGAATCTAAAAAAGAAGTTAACAAACAAAAACAGAAACAGACTAATACAGAGAACAAACTGGTGGTTGCCGGAGGGGAGGAGGTTGGGGGGATGGGGAGAATAGGTGAAGGGGATTAAGAGTACAAATTTCCAGCTCTAAAATAAATGAGTCATAAAAAAGGGTACAACATAGGGAATATAGTCAATAATATTGTAATAACTTTGTATGGTGACAGATGGTAACAACACTTATCAATGGTGAGCACTGCATAATGTATAAAATTGTGGAACCACTATGTTGTACACCTGAAACTAATGTAACATTGTTCAACTATACTTCAATTAAAAATATAAAATAAAAATAATTTTTTTAAAAAGAAAGTAACAGGCAATGGGCCAGCCTTGGTACATGGATCTCAGTTGTCCAATTCCTGATGTAGAGGGTACTTTTACATGCTTCCTATGCTTCCCAGGGATTATGAGTTCTTTAATTATCTGTTCAAATCTTTGGCTCATATTTAATTGGGTTATCTTTTTACTGATATAAGACCTATGTCAAACTATGTGTATTTGAAATATTTGTAATTCCCAGTCTATAGCTTGCCTTTCATTTTCCTAATAGTGTCTTTTGAGCAAAAAAGATTCTAATCTCAATGAAGCCCAATTTATCAAACTTTCCTTTTACAGATATCTTTATATCCTAAGAGATCTTTGCCTAACACAAAGTCATAGATTTATTCATGAGTCTAAAAGTTCAAGGAGTTTCAGAGTTTTGGCTTTTAGATCTATAATCCAATTCAAAGGTAATTTCTGTGTATGTGCGAGATAAGAATTCAGATTCTGAGGGGAGGGGGGGCGGTACTGAGTTCCTGAACCATTTGTTGAAAGATTCTATTATCCTTTAGTAGAACAAAACAAAACAACAAAACAAACACCAAAAACCAAAACTAAAACCTTATCCTTGAACAGGTAAAAGACTATATGAATACTACATTTAACTATGTTAACTATGCTTTTTAAACCCTTGCATAACAGGGGCACTTAAGTGGCTCAGTCGGTTAAGGGTGGGACTCTTGATATTGGCTCAGGTCAGTATCTCAGGGTTGTGGGATCGAGCCCCATGACAGACTCTGCACTTAGTGTGGAGTCTGCTTCTTTTTCTCTGCCCCTCCTCCTGCTTGCACTCTCTCTAAAATAAATAAATAAATCTTTAAAGAAAAAAATAAAATAAAAATCCTCGCATAACATCAAACATTGACAGCTATGGTCATATAAATAAAGGAAATAAATAACATTTTAACTAACCCATATGGGGCCTTAAAGGAATGCAAAAACCAACTAACTGCTTCTCCATAACTGGCAACAAAAAATGTTATTTCAAAAATCTCTCTTAAGAGTTCTAAGCCACATAACTGAGAACAAACCTAGGAGCAAAAGTTAAGATTAATTCCCACCCAAATGTACTGTTTCAGGTGGTCTCAAGGCAGCAGTCATTAAATGCGCGAGAGTTGGATGGGTCTGAGGAAAACAGTAAATTAGTCTGTAGACTCAATAACTATGAACAAATGAGATCTTTAGCTGTGATATTTTCACATATAATTGACTAGAGGCAAACAGAATGGAAATCCACATTTTTGAGGGAACTCTAGTAGCAAAAAATACCACAAACCTAACATCCTCTACCTGGGAAGCCCAAATCTGCACCAACAGGAAGCAAGGGGAGAATGCAGTACAGCCTACACTTAAGGGTACACTCTCAAACATTCACTGCAGATATAAACACAAAGCATAATGGATAAGGAATAATTCCCAAAGAGCAAAGTCAAGAGACTATGGAGGACAACGAACAAAGCCAATTTAGGATTCTACCAAGACCTTGCTGCACTTCCAGAAAAAGATGTCTTACTAATTAATTACTGTAAGGACCTATCATGTGTATCTCATTTTTTTTTTTCCCAGTGGGAGTTTTTACTGTAGCTTTCCTGTCTCTACTCTTATGTATACATACAAGAAACAAGAGGTTAAGAGGGTTGGAAAACTTGTCTATTCATTTATAGGTCACAACATCATAATGAACGATATCTGGACCTGACTGAAAGGACATTACTCCACCTAATGAATATGACTTTGAATTGTCATCCTTGAGGAATGGATGTGTTTTCTCTATGAGAAGGGAGTGTATGGATATTTGGGTGACCAAAGAGGCAAACCAAACAGACTGCTTATTTTCCCTCATTATCTAATCTCTTTTTTGATAAAAGAACCTGTTCAATTTTAGCCAAGCTCATGGTAGCTCCTATTTCCCAGCCTTACCAGCAATTAGTTGTGAGTATGTCACTAGGTCCCTGACAATCAGATGTGAGCCAAATTAATGCATGCAACCTCTGGTCTTGACATTAAAAAATGTTTATGTGTTAAAACCAGATGAACAACTCGTGAATAAATTTCAACAGTGCAGGCAAGGGCAACATTCTCGGGGATAGGAAAGCCAACAGGTCCCTGCAAAACCCTGTGAAACATACCTAATCCTTGACTATGAAATGAAAGAAATATAAATTCTACCCTTTCATGTTGAGTTCTTCTTGCTAATACACCTTAGCATATAACTTAACTAATGTACCCCTCCCTCAAAATTATTTTATGCTATAAGAATCATTTAGGTTAGGGCGCCTGGGTGGCTCAGTTGGTTAAGCGACTGCCTTCGGCTCAGGTCATGATCCCAGGGTCCTGGGATCGAGTCCCGCATCGGGCTCCCGGCTCAGCAGGAAGCCTGCTTCTCCCTCTCCCACTCCCCCTGCTTGTGTTCCTGCTCTCACTGTCTCTGTCTCTGTCAAATAAATAAATAAAATCTTTAAAAAAAAAAAAAAAAGAATCATTTAGGTTAACAAGTTCTCATTTAAAATGTTCATTGCCGGGGCTCCTGGGTGGCTCAGTTGGTTAAGCGACTGCCTTCGGCTCAGGTCATGATCCTGGAGTTCCAGGATCGAGTCCCATATCAGGCTCCCTGCTCAGCGGGAAGTCTGCTTCTCCCTCTTACCCTTCCCCCTCTCATGTGCTCTCTCTCTCTCTCATTCTCTCTCTCTCAAATAAATAAAATCTTTAAAAAAAAAAAATATTCATTGCCAGGGCACCTGGGTGGCTCAGTCGTTAAGTGTCTGCCTTCGGCTCAGGTCATGATCCCAGGGTCCTGGGATTGAGCCCTGCATCAGGCTCCTGCTCAGCGAGGAGCCTGCTTCTCCCTCTCCTGCTCCCCCTGCTTGTGTTCCCTCTCTAGCTGTCTCTCTGTGTCAAATAAATAAAAATCTTTAAAAAAATAAACAAAAATAAATAAAATGTTCATTGCCTTTAAGATTATGCCTCATTGACATACAACTTAACAACATTAATATTCTACCACCTAGTTGTATACACACACAGAAAAAATAAAAAAGCAAACAAAAATAAAAAAAAAAAAA